TATGAAATAATAGCTTATTCTATTAGATTTAACCCCGTTAGTGAGACTAGACCTATGTATTTTTTACACTACATTGATACCATGAATTTACCTGAGGTTCACATCTCAAATTCCAACCCATTGTCTATAACACCGCATTTAAGTACAGCCTATTAACTTGATAATGCCTTGACCAAGAATGAGTTAGAGATCCATTTCAAACTATTAAGGGAAACCCATCATAAGAGTGGAGTCTAATTAACTTCCAATGCAACATTTGATTGTGTTTCTAGGGGAATAAACCAATTATGACACTGTTACAAAAGACAAAAAGTCAACGCCATCCTAGAATTGTGATAATAAATGCCCTTTGGCTATAATAAATTTGTGGCCTCTGTGCAGTTATTGCAACATTTATGAGTTTTTTTAACTATATTAGTGTTATTTTTTATGTAGATAATTGCATATGCGATGGTGGTAACCAGGGTGGTTGTAGTTAAATCTGCAGCATTTACGAGGGAGGGACAAGCAGAGTTACAGTAGATGAGAGTGTGCAACATTTTTGGAAAGTTTTGCAAGCAAGTTAGAGAAGGGATAGTTAGTGCTTTAGTGGTTAGCATTAGTACGATGGTCCTCTCTTGTATTTCTATTTTCTCTTTATTTTGATTGTATGGTGCTCATAACAAGGGCCAAAAATACAGGTTAAGAGGTTAAGAATTTGATCATAGATCTATATAGTTTTCTAGCTCTTCCAACTCTTAACGTTTCTTCAAAATTGATAAGATGGTAATTAGTTTTGGAGATCAATGGAGATTTGTGCTAATATCAATAATATATTAAAGTATGGGTCTCCTTATTTTGGTTAGTGATAGTACGGTTTTATAGAAGGAAGATACAGTTTCTATCTTCTATTCTCTGAAACAACAAAAATAGAAGGAGATAGCCAAAAAAGGATCAAGGTTTTGGTTAATGATTCCAAGTATATAAAATTAATGTTTTAGACTTCTAGTCACATAATCTATATCATCATGAACTAAAGTCCTGATTCCATAATCCCATGCAATTTGAGGATAAAAAGGAAGTGTACCTGAATTCATCATTTGAGGTATAGATGTAGCATTCAATGAATTTGATATCCATACTCTTGATTGTTCTCTGGAAGGAAGGGGAGAGAATAGGTTTAAACGATATTATTTGCATGTGAGGAAAAAAATCAGAGTGGGAAAAAGTTTTTGCATACTTAGGTCCTCTACCGAGAGGTGGGAGATCCTAAACCCCACGTTGATAAGGAAGACAAAACATCCCAAACATAAAAAAGACAAAACAAACAACGCGCGCTAGCACTCACACAACCGTAGGGCACGAAAGATGCCTTAAAATGTTCTCTTATACCCTATATATAATTGAAACAAAAAAATGACAGTTAACTCATTTAATATATTTTAAAGTGAAAATTTTTTTACACTTTATCTCTATCAAAATTAAATTACAATAGAGTTAAAATTGAAAAAAAATAATAAATGATCCTCCATCTGTCCTATATTTAGAATTAAGGAATCTTTTTAAAAATATCTTATAATAAGAACCAAAAGAAGTAATGTATCAGACCTCTTAAGTAATTTTTTCTAAAACCCCAAAACTCCTTTACACATTAAAAGGTAATTATAAACCATGGTTGTTTCGTTGCATTGTTAGGATGTTAGGTTTTGATTTTGATTATGAGGATTTTAAAAAAAAAATAGCAGTAATGTTTTTATTCCTAATTCTATTCCTCAAGAATTATGAGAAAAGTAGATGTAACCATCAATAATTTTTTTTATTTAATAAATGAATAAAACAAACAAGTCAAAGTTTTAGAGGGAGAGCTAAATCAGTCATCATTCTTTTCCTCCAAATAAACAAAGTGAAGAATGATCCAATGCAAAAGGGGCTCTCAATAGTGTGAGCTTTCCTTGTCAAAGAATGAGCATTAGAGACTACATTCTACAAACAAAGTTAATAATGACTACCTCCAATCCTTATTAATTACATTATAGACATTATAAATAATATGAAATGGATGTTATAGGAGGTTGATTGCTTCCCTACAATCAAAGCAAACTTCAATGTTCTTTAAACTCTTGACTAGCAGAGTTCAAGTCCTCTATCTATTCCCATAACTATTGCTAAAGCCAGGGGACAAGGGGTTATTTTTCAAGGTTGCAGCAGAAACCAAAGACCCAATTACCAATATCTTTGCTAACTTGATTGTCACTAGTGGCAAGCCATCATTCTTGGTAGAACCATTCACATCTAATCTAACAAAATCCTATTTAGGAGGATGCCATTTGTGAACCGTCAATTTTTTTTTATGCATCTGAAAAGTTAAAAATCTTTATTATGATAAGAAAAAAGAGACCATGCATTGGTCATAGTGAAAGGACTATATTGCTTAAACGTGCATTCGGTTTCGGTGCTAATCACTTAATGAGCACCACCATGCTCATCATTTGATGAGAATTTAAACCGTCCATATTTTGTAAAATTAATCAAAAGAGGAATACAAACTCATTTTGGCCACTTTAGTTGTAAGATTTTTCACCCCTTTTAAATCTAGATCATTCTTGATATATATTTTAACTAATTCAATGACATAATCAATTTGAGACTTCTATTAATGATATTCATAATAATATTTAATTTAAAAGACATATTTATCTACTAGTTTGTTTTTTTTTCTAAAGTTGGCAAAATGATTTTACATATTGCAATTACAATTAAATGATTAATGGTTGAAAAATCCCCTTTATTTTTTGTTCCAAAGATCTGAAAAATGAGTGGCACCATTGAAAGAATAATTTAGCATGGCTATATCTAACAAATACTTTTCGATAACATTGATTGTAAATTTCTTATATACTTATTACAAACAAAAAAAATCAAGTAGAGGATAATTATAAAATATGTAATTAAAGTTTTAAGTTCTTATTTTTAAGTTTCTAATTTAAAAAAAAATACATTGCACTCCTGATATAAGATCTTAACTTTGCCATTGTTTAAATATAAGATCTCAAGTTTGAGTTTGTGTAAATACAAAAAATGCATTTGAAAGAACTACATTTAATTAAACAAAACAATATTTGAATACATTCTTATCAGATAATTATATAAAAAACAAGAAAGAATATAATATTATATTATATAACATGATTTATTTATATTTATATTTTATATAACCAAGGCCAATACAGAATAATTGAGAGGTGCCTCACAATGTTTTAATTATCTTAAAATCTTATGAAATATATAAATTGCTACTAAGTCATTAAGTTTCTCAAGTGTAAATAGGTTTTTGTGTAATTACGAAAATATTCTTATCTTTTTTTTTTTTTTTATAATAACTCATGTACAACCGCCAACAAAGTTTCTCGGACCTCTGCCATCGCTGCCACCTTCTTGAAACTCTGCCCCCTTATGATGGAAATGGGAATTTCCTTTCAGGTCAATCTGAACTCAATGCTGAGGAGAAGAAGAGGAGGTCACCTTCATGCTTTCTTGCACTCTTCAACTATGAAGACCAGTGGCGGGGGTCACTACAACAAAATACAGTATTCTCAACTTAAGAATATTGACAGGCATGACTTAGAGTAAAAAATAATAGAATTTTCCACAAATAATTATGATTGTCAAAATATCACCGGTGATTCTGATCATTCCGATCTTGAAGCCTCAGTGATTAAGGAGGTAGACAGTGAAGCAGTTGAACCAGAGAGAAAACCTCGGAAGAGAGGACGAAAATCCGAAAAATGGCAGAGAGGAGACTCTGAATCATGTTGAAGCTGAAAGGTAGATGAGAGAGAAGCTCAATCAACGGTTCTATGCGATTCGTGCTGTGGTTCCAAACATTTCAAAGATGGATAAAGGCATAAAGCATCCCTTCTGGGTGATGCACTGACTCAAGCCGAAGCTTCAGAGACTAGAATCAGACAAGAATGAATTGCAGAACCAATTGGATTCTGTCAAGAAGGAGCTCGAGGTAGCCCAAAACAAGGGCTCTGCGCCACCTCCAGCGGATAAAGAACCGAAGTCGTCCAATCACCATACAGGCAAGATCATTGATTTTGATATCGACGTGAAAGTTATCGGTTGGGATGCGATGATTCGAATTCAGTGCAGCAGGAAGAACCACCCAGCAGCATGGTTGATGGCAGCATTGAAGGAGCTAGACCTGGATGGGAACCACGCGGGTGTGTCGGCGATGAATGATTTGATGATCCAACAAGCAACAATGAGGATGGGCAGTCAATTCTACATGCAGGCGCATTTGGCACTTTCATCATCGAATACATCAAGATAAGGCATTTTCGTAATTGCACGAAAATTTATTTTCAATTAAAAAAACTTATACATTTAATCAAAACATGTAAATTTTTCATAAATTATTTATTTATAATAATTTTTTATTATTAATTTTATTAATATATTAATATTTAGGAAAAATATAACTTTAGTTTTTACATTTTGCTTATATTTTATTATAAGTCCTACACTTTTTTAATATTTTAAATTTTTATACTTTTATTTTTCATCTTTTAGGTCCTTGTTAAATTTATGTTTTCTCTAATATTTATTTATCATCATTTGAGTGTCTATAATTATATTAAATGTAAACTTTAAGAAAATATTCTCATCATTTTTATATATAAAATATTTTTATTTAAATCCCGCATATCAATAATAAATATAATAATTTTTTAATTTCATAACTAATAATATCAGTGATGAAAAAAATATAATTAATAATTTATTTTATTTTTTAATATAATGATAAAATTATTTAATAAGTTAAAATATTATTGTCACCCTTTTATATTTAAAAATAAAATAAATTTTTAAAAAATATTTTAAATATAAAAATGAAGGGAGTAAATCTTACTAAAATAATTAATAATTTATATATTTCATAGAATTTTAGAGTAAATAGAATAATTGTGAGGGATTTGAGCCTTTGTTCCAAAATTCTTCCTCTAGGAAGTTTACAAAACCGGCTTACATCTCGGCTTCTGGAAACCATCACTAGCCGTCTTTGACCTGACACCTGTTTTACTCCCGCCAAACCTCCGGGAGGTTGTCCTAATTCCCCCTAAAACCCTAATTTCTCAGTTATTTCTACTTCTAGTCTGGCTTCGGTACTAGTCGCTGAATTGAATTGATTGTTGATTGGACGACAAGGGAAAGAGTGGGAGATGTCACAAAAATTCTCGCCGGCTCTTCGGATTGGAGATCTAAATGATTTCATAGCGCCATCTCAGGCATGCATAGTCTCTCTCAAGGGGTTAAAGTCTAACACTACGAGGGCCGACAAAGCCGAGGTATTTGGTTTTGATTTCAATGTTTCATTGAAAACGAGATGAAGTTATGCTGGCCATTTCGCTAGGCTTGCTTATGAAATAGATGTCATTTTTTTTATCCCCCAAAGCTATGAAAAGAATATGCTATCCATGTGTGATGGTATGTAATTTTTCTTTTGCATTTACAGTATGTTATTCAAAATTGTTAATTTGACTTGTTCCGTGTAAACATCACTGAAGGTTTCGACCGCCAAAAAGCAATCACTGCCAGAACCTGTTAAGATTTCTCTCAAGGACTGCTTAGCATGCAGGTGAGTCATAATGCTCTTTCTCTGCTTCATATGAGTTTCTGTAAGATGTGTAATTTGAATTCGAATCCATCCATGAGCTATTTAATGGTTTTTCCATAGGTTTTATTTTATTGGAATTTTTCCAATGAACGAAGTTGTTGCCTTGTTGGGTCGTTGAATGCTAATTTCTTGTGTCAACTGTGATGTGTCCTTTTGCCTGTGCTTAATCCCGTGGGCGATGGTTGTGCATTCCTTACAAATGGGATGCTTCTTAAATTGATTCATGATAAAATTATCTTGTCAATTTAGTCCTGCAGAGAAAGAGCAGTTGTCAATTTTGCCATCATATAATTGTTAAGTAAATTTGGTTTTCCACGTATTGGTATTTCTTGATTTGGTCTCATAAATATAAATGAAATTAACAATGTAATGACACATTGCATACTTTTTATGGTCAACTTCGTCAGTATTATTATATAGATTGAGAGGAGATCGACTATAAGTTTCATAGATGGTATATTGATACGAGATTATTATTTGTGAGGGATCAAATTGAGAAATACCTGATATGCAAGGATAAATTGATTAGACAATTCTATGAGAGCTAATTATAAGTAGGGAAAATATCATTCAAGGACCATTGAGACAAATTAACATCAAACAAGAACAAAAAGATTCTGAAATATCATTACATGACCATAGGATTGATTTGAAAATTTTTTTTGATGGGAAAAGACTATGATACTCCTACTTTTTTTTTTTCCTTTTCTAAAACTTATCAACTAGCAAATGGTTTCTTGTTAAATGCGAATGGTTGCTTGTTAATTAACAAATGGCTACTTGTTGAAATATGATTTACATTTGTTCCTTCCAACAACCAAATTCTTTCATATTCTTAAATTTGTCAATTAGTGAATGACTTCTTGTTAAATATGAATGGGTACTTTTTAATTAATGAATAGTTACTTGTTGACACATGATTTACACTTGTCTCTTCCCACAATCAAGTTCTTTCAAATTCTTAAACTTGTCAATTAGTGAATGATTTCTTGTTAAATACTAATGGATGCTTATTAATTAATGAATGGTTTCTTGTTAAAATATGATCTGCACATGTCCTTTCCCATGACCAAGCTCTTTTATGTTATTGAACTTGTCAATAAGCGAATGGTTTCTTGTTAAATGTGAATAAGTACTTGTTAATTAATGAATAACTTCTTGTCAATTAAAAAAGAAAGGTAGGAGTATTATAGTCTTTTCCTAGCTAAAATTATTTTCAAATTAGTGCCTTGGTTCTGCAGTGATATTTCAAAATCTTTAGGTTCTTCATTGATATTAAATATTCTTAGTCGTCCTTTAATGATATTTTCCCTTATAAATATCCTGTTATGGGGGAGGGATTTTAGTCAAATACTTTTTGGTTTTCAAATCAAAGTCTTATGTTTGAATCCTTATAAAATTGATAGTATTAAGATCTCTATTGGGTAATAGGAATCAAAATTGATAGTATAAGAACGCCTTGTGGACAAACAAAGGATTTTCCTATAGAGATTGGACTACATCAGGGATCATCTCTGAGTTCTTATTTGTTCAATTTGATTTTAAATGTTTTGACGGAACATATTCAAGAGGAAATCTCGAAATGTATGCTCTTTGCGGATGATATAGTTCTTATAGCAGAGACAAGAGAAGAGGTTAATTGCAAACTTGAGTTATGGAGGAGGACATTGGAGTCGAAAGGTTTTCGTCTGAGTAGAAGTAAGACGGAATATTTATATTGTAAATTTGGTAAAAGACTATTCGAAAATAATTTGGAAGTGAAATTGAGAGATCAAATCATACCTCAAGTGGAAAAGTTTAGATATTTGGGAGCCATTATTCAAAATGATGGCGAAATCAGTGGAGATATTTCATATAGAATTCAAGCTGGGTGGTTTAATTGGAGAAAAGCTAAAGGAGTTATTTGTGACCGTAAGGTGCCTAATAAACTTAAAGGAAAGTTTTATCGTACTGCTATCAGACCGGCAATGTTATATAGTAGTGAATGCTGGGCTCTAACAGGACAGCAAGAGCATAAAGTTGGAGTAGCAGAGATGAGAATGTTACGATAGATGTGCGGACATACACGTAAAGATAAAATTCGAAATGAGCACATACGTGAAAAAGTGAGGGTGGCACCTATTGAGGAAAAAATGGTAGAAAATCGGTTGAGATGGTTTGGGCATGTACAAAGAAGACCAAGGGAGGCACCAGTGAGAAGAGTGGAACATATAACTTTGAGTCCGATTAAAAGAGGTAGAGTAAGGCCTAAGAGAACACTCTTGGAAGTTGTTGAACGTGATCTCTTAATTAATAATATTTCTAAAAGCTTAATAAATGATAGAGCACAATGGCGTCTTGCAATCCATGTAGCCGACCCCACCTAGTGGGATAAAGGCTTGTTGTTGTTGTTGTTGTTGTTCTTCATTTCAAGTTGCAAAAGTCTGATAAGATTGACATAAAGGAAGCTTTCTTAAAGCTTGGTAATTGTTTTATAGTACAGGTTCTAACAGGAAGTTTGATAAATTTTTTGACAATGCAGTGGGTGCGTCACTTCGGCGGAGACAGTGATGTTGGAAAAACAGAGTTTGGATGAGTTTCTATCCAATATTAATAAAGGAAAGGCTGTGATCGTGTCTCTCTCTCCCCAGTCCAGGGCCTCACTGGCTGTTCATTTTGGCATTTCTCCACTTCAGGTGACTTATAGGATATTGCCTTTTGTTATCATTATTAAATTTGGAATATATTTAACTGAAATCCATCATTCTTCTTCTCTTTCCCCATTAGCTTACAAGTGAAAGTTTTGATGTTTCAGGTTTTCAAAAAGCTGACAAGATTTTTTAAATCCTTGGGAGTGAAGGCAATTTTCGATACAAGTTGCAGTAGAGACCTAACGCTTGTTGAATCTTGTGATGAGTTTATCTCAAGGTATAAACAGAACCAATTGGTTGACGATGAAAGTTCTAAGTTGGGCCTACCAATGATTGCATCAGCATGCCCAGGTATATATTTATATATCAATATGTGGAAAATGTCAGACATATTGCTTCTATGAGGTACACATTTAGGTGCTTGACACAACATTCAACATTCATGACGACATAGCAAAATCCATATTATGGGAAACATTCATGTAATTTCAAGACCTTGTCATGTGTATAAAAAGTTGGAGAAATGTTTCTAAATATTAACAAATACATGTAATGTGCTTAAGATATATTCATCATGTGTTCGAACATGTTAGAAAAGTGTTCAGGAAATGTTATGATAATTTTAAAATTTTCATAATCCAATAGGAAACTCAATTGTGGTTTCATGGTGTGGTATGGACTACTGAGTTCCTCAAAGACACATGATTTATCTATTCAGTTGTTAGTGTTTTGGAGTATCACATACGCACAGAGAGAGGGAGGAAGGGGGGGTTGAGGGAGCTTAAATTAGCCTTGCAATGTGTAGGATAGATTAGGGCAAGGGGTCAAGAATTAGGGTGAAGAAATTGCTGACCAGTTTTAATTAACAGAGTCATCTTTTTATAGGTTGGATATGCTATGCTGAAAAGCAACTTGGATCCTTTGTTCTACCTTACATTTCTTCAGTTAAGAGTCCTCAGCAAACAGTTGGAGCTATCATAAAGCACCATGTGTGCCAGGGTATGGGATTTAGGTAGGCTGTCCATTTAAATTATAAATTTGCTGTCCCTGTGGGTTTGAGTTACAATATTATTGGAATATTTTGTTCATCTACTGTTAAGTTTTGGAAATCCACCATATCTTTGATCAATGCTTCTTTTGTATGCTCGAAATGTTAGGCGAATACTTTTTTTAAAAAAATTATCTGCTTCATAATATTTTTGGTTAATTGTCTGGCAGAGCCGAGGAAGTTTGCCATGTTACTGTGATGCCTTGTTATGATAAAAAGCTGGAGGCTGCTAGGGATGACTTTGTTTTTGACTTGGAGTCCCATGGAAAGGGGGACTGGAGTGAATTTAATAGAATTCCAGAGGTAGATTCGGTATTGACAACTGGAGAGGTTTTGGAATTGATTCAGGTTAGAAGTTTCTATGTTCTTATTCTATTATGTTTTTCCCTTTTAGCTCTTCTTATCTAGTATTAATACCTTTAGTGATCCAATCTTTCAGTTAAAAGAAGTTGATTTCAGAAGTTTGGAAGAGTCCTCATTGGATAGACTGTATGAACCATATGTTTTAGTTAGTTAATTTTCTGTATTTGTCAATTGTAAAAATTGGTGTTTATATACATGCTGCTTCTTGCAGGCTGACAAATATTAATGATGATGGATACCTTTATGGGGTCTGTGGAAGCTCTGGAGGTTATGCAGAAAATATTTTCCGATATGCAGCAAAAACATTATTTGGAAGACAAATTGATGGCCCTCTGAACTTCAAAAATATTAGGAATTCAGATTTCCAGGAAGTTACTCTGGAGGCATGTTCTTGTAAACTTATTCATAAATATATGTGTCTTGCTTCTTGTAAGGTGGTGGTTTGAGCCCAACATCTAGAAATGTTTGGTTATGGAAGTGCCAAATAATTATCCAGGAAAAAATATTCAAGTATTTTCAGCATCCATTAGTTATCCTTGACACAGTTTTGCTTTGGTAACCTGATATTATCCTGTACCTTAGCCACAGTGTTCTTGATGTCACAGTTGTTAAACAGTCTCTACAGGTTTTTTTTTTAAGCTACAGTTTATTTCTCTGGTTCAATATATTAATAAAGTATTATGTCTTATTGTCTATGCAGGTGGAGGGGAGAACAGTGTTGAAATTTGCTCTATGTTATGGTTTTAGAAACTTGCAAAATATTGTTAGAAAAGTTAAAAGTGGGAAATGTGATTACCATTTCCTGGAGATCATGGCATGCCCATCAGGTCGTGGTCCCTCTTTTACTAGAAATTCCATTTTCTTCAACTGATGTGCTGTTGCTTTCAGTGAGGCCAGTAAATTGAAAATGTATTGACTATATGCTATAATGAATTGAACCAGGTTGCTTGAATGGTGGAGGTCAAATCAAACCAAAGCCAGGACAATCTCCAAAAGAATTGAGTCAGTTATTGGAAATAGCATACATGGAAAATGTAAGTTTAATCTGACCAGCCAGTATTTCATGGTTGCACTCATTTTGCTTGGTAGATATGCGCGCGCATGTGCCCGCACAGGTGTATTTGTGTGTGCTGTCTGCATCTGCATCTGAGCATGTATATTAATGGTTCAGATTCTTGTTACATTTGTCATTCTTAACCTTCTGGAATTTTTGTTCTGTTTTTTTTTTTTAATTTTATCAATTATCATTCTTATTAAAGCACATTAGTATCATATAATCGATGTAGCCGATCCCACTTAGTGGGATAAGGCTTGTTGTTGTTATTGTTGTTGTTGTATCAATTATCATTCTTATAGAAGGAAACTTCAGGTATTAAAAGTCTTGTAGTTGATAATATAAATGTATTTCTGTGGAAGATTTTAAATTATTATTTGGCCATTTGCTAGGTTTTGGTGGCAGATCCCTTTGATAATCCTATTGTGAAAAGTTTATATAACAAGTGGCTTGAGCAGCCTGGGTCTGAAAAAGCTAGGAAACACATGCACACAGAATATCACCCTGTTGAGAAAAGCATTACTTCTCAGTTGAAATGGTGAGAAGATTCAGTTTAGAAGATGTTCGTGACCTTCATTCCCTTTCTGGTATGGAGTTGAAAGTTTTTGTGTTCGTTATTCTCAAGGTAATATTCCAGTATCAGGTAGTAGTTTCCTTCAATCCCTTTTCCCTTCAATGTTTGCATCTGTAGAGTCATACAATCTATCGTTTTGAACATTTTATCTGAATGTTACTAAAGTATATATTAAAGAATCTCTAGATGATACATTCTAGATTTTTGGTTTAGTTGTTTACTTGTTCAATAGGGATGAGACTCCAACCCCTTCTGAAAATTGCTATCCTCGAGTTCTTAACTCTGGTGTAGAAAGTGATCATGCACTAATTTGGTGGTCTGAAGGCGATTAGTGGCATTGTTAGAATGAGATTTTTTTTTTCTCTTTCTAATTTTCGTGCAACTTTTCTCAAACTCGCCATTTCTGGGTTTTGCCTATGATGGAACAAGATTTTGATGTCTAAGAGGATGATGTCTTTCTTATTTTCGCCGTCTCAGGCAGATACAGCAGAAGTAGAAACCAAAAACTAAACAGGTACGAGAGGTCGAGCAAAGTGAAGGATAAGGATGATTCAAACATCCACCAGCAACATCGCCAAGAGACTGTCAAGTTTTTGCATGGATTGAAGAAAGAAGGGATAGTGTTGAATTATATCTAAACAATCTATTCCTCCAAGTCAATTTTTTCTCAATCCAAATACCCCCTTTTTAAACCTGTTATAGCTACAGGTCATTTTCAGCAATAAAAGCTAAACAGAGTGTACATGGATGATTCAAGTATGTAAATGAATATGATTCAGGCTTTAACGCTCTCGCGATAATTATGGAATTACGAGTTGCTAGAGAGAGATTATTCATGTGGTTTTTGGCCAGTTTGAATTTTCTTGTGTATGATTCATTCTCAAATTTGTACATTTAATGTGTCCCTTAAAGCAATAGATTTTATTCTTTTTTGTTTTTGGCGTGAAATGGGAAATATCATTAACTCGAAAGGGAACTGTTCAACCAATACACCGAACAAAAGGCCGAAAAAACACAAACATTACATCAAAGTTCTAAAAGTGGAGAAGGATGTAGAAGTATGATTGACTATTGCTCTGAGTTGGGACAGAACAGTGTCAAGAATGAAGACTTCCTCAGTAAAGAGTCTTCTATTCTTGATGTCCCACAGCTTCCAGCAGGTGATGCTTATGCCTATCTCTCAGGAGACTTCTAACCGAGGATTGTGAAGGCATTTGGTGAATCAAGAACTAATACCGCATCCATAGAAGTCCATACACATATCAGTGGGCAGTATTTTCTTCCAAACTGGTGCTGCAAAAGAGCATTCCTTGAAAACATGATTAACGTTCTCGACCGTGGCATTGCAAATCGAACATCTTTGATCATGAGCCATTTCCTTTTAAATCTCACATTTGTACGAAGTTTCCCTTTTAGGATGAGCCATGCAAAAGCTCTTACCCTTTGAGCCATTGGAAGTTTCCAGACTTTAGACCATACACTATCAGTATCATTCCACTCAAGTGCTTGTGAAGAAGTGTAAGCTGATTTGACAGTATCATTACATGGCTCGTTTTACCCTTCTTTCACTCGTAGATCTTGTAATGAAACATGTAGTTATGTAAACACGAGATCCGATAACTATATTTACTATATGTCGTATGATCCTCAAAATTACATTGAATTTATTAGTTAATTCTTAATTCCTTACTGATTTTTTTTATTTTAAATATTTTGGTCATCGGACCTTTTCTTTATTATTATGGTGTGGTGCGTGTCAAGAACGCTAAATCTATCAGATCATGTCTGGAAACGTCCTTGTAAAAGAAAAGGTTTTCATTTCCTTTTCTGTACTGTTAAGTCCCTATAATTCAGCTGCTCTTTTCATCTTTCACTCTAGAGTCCCACTTTCTAAAAGAGAATTACTTAGGAAGTCATTGCGTCGTCTGAAAGAGAATAAAGGTTTTGGAATAAATTAAAGAGGAGATGAGACTGACGAGCAAAGATGTGTGAGAGGCATTTGTTAATCTCTGAATCTGAAGAACTTGTTTGAATTGAAGACGAAGTCTTGCAAGTCTCGAAGCTGCCATTTTTGATACCTTGTGAGCTTCTACCATGTTATTCCTATCCCTTAATTCTTGTCTTTTCTCGTCCCACTTGCTTCATCCATCTAATCGATCCATTAACGAGAGTTAACCATTGGCATGCGTAATGCCTATACCAATTTTAATTTTTACCTGTAACACCAAGTTTTGTTTTCTCTTTCTATGGAATTAATCAGAAGCCAAAGCATATTATCTCCTGGAAGCTATCACATGGATGCTGCCATTGCTTTAATGCTCAGAGGAGCTTTATTGATAATCTTATTGGCCATATCAATTTCCAGAGCCATCAGATTCATCTCTCCTTCACCTTGTCATAGCCAACTTGCTTCTGTTGATGATAGGTAGCTTGCTGCTCCTAAATAATCTCACTCTAGCTTCTTGTTCGATTTGCTGCTACTATAACCCATTATTTCTTGACACTTGTTTCTATTTGCAGTTCTAAAGATCATGTTGTTTCAACTTCTAAGGTTTCTTCTTGTACTACTGAGTACGATGTATTCCTTAGCTTTCATGGGGAAGACACTAGCCACAATTTTGTGAGTTATCTCTACAAAGTACAAAGAACTTCGCAATGCAAACATTCATACTTTTATGGACCACAAACTTGGAAAAGGAGAACAAATCGCACCAGTTCTTTTGAGAACAATAGAGCAATCAATAATATCTATCATTTTTTTCTCCAAGGATTATGCTTCTTCGACATGCTATATGGATGAGCTTGTTCACGTTTTGAAATGCAAGGATAAATATGAAAGGAATTTCCTCCCTATTTTCTACAACGTAGATCCATCAAATATTCGGAAACAAAGTGGGAGTTTTGGAGATGGATTTGCTAAGATTAAGAAGAGGTTTGAACACAACTAGATTGCTTAATGCTTTAATAAAATCAACAAGTTTATCTGGGTGGGATTCCAATAGTATCAAGCATCTTCATAAATATTTCCTTTTATTTAGGATTCTGCTATATTGCTATAATTGTTCTAATTTTTCACTTTCTACCTGGTAAATATGCCTTTTTTTGACTAACATTTATGTTGGACCTGAATCCAAACTTGTTGAAGAGATTGTGGAAGACATCATGATCAAGTTGAACTATGAGTCATCATCTCATCTTGAAGGACTTCTTGCTATTGCTCATCATATTGACAATATCGAGAAACTTCTAAGTGAGGCCCCCATTGTTAGAATATGACGTATGGGCGGTGCGGGTACAACCACACTTGCTAAAGCCATAGTTGAAAGGCTGAAAGCTTAATTCGATGCTTTTTCCTTTATTAAAAATATGAAAGGTCAATTAGCAAGAATTAGATTGGATAAGTTACGGAAAAATTGCCTTGAAAAATTATTAATTAAAAGATGAGGATATTAACATCTGTGACATAAAATCCCCTTTTGTAAAAAGTCGGCTTCAACGCAATTTTTTTTTTTTTCCTTATGCTTGATGATGTGGACAATTCAATAATAGATGGGGATTTAACTGAAGTGTATAATTGGTTTGAAAAAGGAAGTAGAATTATCATCACTTCAAGAGACATGCAAATGCTTCTACGTTTTCAACATATCATGTCCTAAGTTTGGATTTCCATGATGCATTTCATCTCTTCAGTTTGAAAGCATTCAAGCAAGATGAGCCATGTAGAGATTTCATGGAGTAATTAGAATCAATAGTGAATTATTTTGAAGGAAATCCATTAGCGCTAATAGTGCTGGATTGCTTTCTTCATGGTAGACGAAAACAAGGGTGGGAAAGTGCTTTGGATAAACTAAATCAAGATCCACTCAAGCATGTTGTTAATGTTCTCAAAGTGAGTTTTGATGGATTGGACGGCAGACAACAGAACTTGTTTCTTGATGTATCATTTTTCATTAAGGGAGAACGAATTAATATTTCTTTGGACATGATAAGACAATTACATGACGCTTCTGCAGATATTGATACTAGTGTTCTTAGAGAAAGATCCCTCATTTCATTTGATCATAATGGCTATATTGGGATGCATGATCTGGTGAGGGGAATGGGCCTTCAAATTGCAAGACAATAGTCATTCTTTGATCTTAAAAGCATCATTCGATGATGGAGGCACAAGGACATTGATGATTTTTTCATGAGTGATAAAGTAAAAATTTAATAGAAAAATGACACAAGAACACCTCAAAATATGAAAATAACACTTAATTACTGCAAAATGTGATAATTATTATTTGATCCTTAAAGACTTGTTTGATATTTTGAATTTTGATAAAATGACATATTTGTCTTTCATAACTATTATAAAAGATGACTATTGTAATTGGGCTATTAAGTAAAATGAAATAGAAAAATGATTATTTCCTTTTTGCAAATTTCTTTATCAATAAAGTGAAACTAAAATAATCATTTTTATAATGAAAGTAGTATTTTCTAATCTGTTTATAAATCAGAAATTTTTAAAAAAGTAGTTATTTTTTATTTTATTTAGCTAATATAACACACTCAAAGTAGTCATTTTCAAAAATAATTGCCAAGGGAAAACATGCTATTTTGTAAAAAATTAAAATGCTAGACAAGTCTTTGGGACTAAATAATAATTATTGCATTTTGCGGTACTTAAGTGTCATCTGCATATTTTCAGGGTATTTTTCTGAAAAAATTACAATTAATGACCCTCTAAAAATATTAATTTTAATCAAAGATCATAATATTTTGAAATCTCAGTTAAGGATCATAATTCTTAATTGGGATAAAAAAAAATATAGTCTATGAGGTGAGATTTACTAACACCACTTGAAGATTTACTAATCCAACTTGAGAAAATTGGTGACGTATATTATGAAAATATAAAACCTTACTTGAAAATTAATTATTTAACAAAAAACGTTACTTGAAAATTTACTAACCTGATTTAAAAAAAAAATTTTAACGTATATTGTAAAAATATAAAACCTCACTTTAGAATCAATTGTTTAACAAAAAATTTCAATTTAGATAAGTTACTTTTTATTAAACAATCGACTTTCAAATAAAATTTTATTTTTTTATAATATATGTTAAAAAATTTTCAAATTTTGTCAGTAAATTTTTTAGTTATGTTTTTTATTAAATTTTCATCATCAATGATCAATAAATGAGAATATATCCAGCAATTTTTGGGTGGGGGGAGGGGGGAGTTAAAGTTTTCACTTCTTGTTGAGGACGGAGTTGGTTGGCAAATCCATCAGAAATTACGTGCCAAAAAGAGAGTGAACCTCGTTTTGACACCGCATTTATTTTCGCTTTGCAAAACAAGAGGCGCGGTTGGCCTCGAAGCAATCTCCGTCGTCTCTCCGTTTTCCTCCTTCATCGCCATTGAAGCTTAAGGAGCTTGTTTCCCTCTCTGGTCACTACAACTGTAAAGTTATTACCTTTTCTTCGTCTTCTTTTGATTAATCGTTCGTTGCGATGATCTTATATAATAGGTTTTGTAACTCCACCTGATTCTTCGCCCTCTGCACTTTCTTGTTCATTCTAAAAAAACAATATCTGTTTTTTTTTTTTTTTGGTGATTTCGTGTCTGTTCAAAGTGTTCGTTCTAAACAAAATTTCTTCGATGCTTGTTAAGAATTCTGCGTTTAATAATTCTTTCTTTAGGAACAACAAATTATTTTTTTTTAAATGATATTTCTGGGCCTTTTTGTTGAATAAATTAACTGTAAAGTTTTGCTGCTAATGCTTATTTCCCCTATTTTATTTGCTTTCCCCATCTTCTGTGTTCATTTTCCTTCATCGTCTATAAGTTCAATTTAAAATATATATATATATATATTTTCTTAGCCTTAGGATTGAATATATACATGTAAAGAAATCTTCACTTTAATTATCTAATAAGAAAATATTATTATTTAAATTGAAATTTCATAAATGTCGTTATCTATGTTGCTTAAAATTTTCTTAACTCAAACCCAAAAACTACACAGGCAGGAGAGGCTGAATAAATTGAAGGAGAAGGATGACTCAGACATCCATCAGCAACATCGCCAAGACTGTCAAGGTTATGTATGGATTGGAGAAAGAAAGGATAATGTTGAATTATATTTTAAAAATCCATTCCTTCAAGTCAATTTTTTCTCAATCTAAGTATGCATACCATTTCTCAAACCTGTTTAGCTAAAGGTCATTTCCGGCAATAAAAGCTAAACAGAGAGTGTACACAGTGATTCAGGTTTGCGAATAAATATGAACTGGAGTTCATGTTCTGGAGTAGCACAGACTTTAACGCTCTGGATTTATGCTCTTTAATTGTGATATTGGGCTTTGATGTCGGGATAATTATGCAATCATGAGCTGCTAGAGATAGATTATTCATATGGTTTTTGGCCAGTGTGAATTATCTTTGCCTGTAATTCATTCTCAAATTTGCACATTTAACTTGGCCCTTGAAACAATAGATGAGTTGTTCCTTTCTTGCTCAGGTATGCAAGTTAAACCGTCTTTCTATATATTTTAAAATGAAATTCTAAGAATAGTGTGCTTTATAGCGTGCTTGGCTCGCAATAAGAAGTAATAATGAGAGAAATTGAAAAAATAATAATAATAAAAGGATGCAATTTTATTCTATTGTGCTTAGTTCGGTAAGAAAGATAGAGAGAAGAAAAAAATTATTAATTTTATATGGACAATAATAATCTTATCATTTATAAAAATATTTATATATAATAAAATTTAATATTTTAACATATTATATATGTAATAATTTCTATCATATGTTATTGATTAAATATACCGAAAAGATAGAGAGAAGAGAAAAATTATTAATTTTATATGGACAGAAATAATCTTATCATTTATAAAAATATTTATATATAATAAAATTTAATATTTTAACATATTATATATATAATAATTTCTATCATATGTTATTGATTAAATATACCGAAAAGATAGAGAGAAGAGAAAAATTATTAATTTTATATGGACGGTAATAATCTTATTATTTATAAAAATATTTATGTATAATAAAATTTAATATTTTAACATATTATATATGCAATAATTTCTATCATATGTTATTGATTAAATAAAAATAATTAAAAATTATTTTATCCAATATTGACAAAAATATTTTATCCAATTTATAGTTTTATTTATTAAATTATTAAATATATAATAATCTTAAAATTTTGAAACTACAACCAAATATAAATAATTTTAATAAAAATTTAGAATTAACATTTGTTTAATTAATTTAAAAATTAAATATCCTTTTTGTTTAACAAAAATCCATTATTAAGATGTAACTATATTACAAATATAAAATTTAAAAATTGGTGGGTAAATTTAAAAGTAAAATTTTAAGTTAAAAGTAAAAACATGTGAATCTTATATATTATTTTTCTCTCATTTTTCTCTTATCTTTGCTTTTCTCTCCATAACCAAGTAGAAAAAATCCTATTTCCTCATCATTTTTCTCTTTCACTTTTATCTTCTCCTCGCTCTTCTCTCCTGTCAAGTACAACATTAGGAGAAGTCATTATTTTCCGTTTTAGATGAAGATTTTTTTTTGGGTATATTTTCAAAATTAAAAATTATCACTTAATTTTTGATGGGAAAAAGATTACTTTATTCTAATTCATGCTCCATTTTTTGAAATGCAGCTTTTCGTGAGTTTTTTTCCCTTCACTTATTAACATTTGTATCCCAATTCATATAAATTTAATAAAACTGAGTAAAGTAACGTGCATATCTAAAGAATCCATAATTAAATATGAGACTTTGATTATTTTGAGTATAGACAAATACACAACCCATTATATCCACATAGTTTGTAGAGAGTTTAGAAATAATAGAGATAATGAAAAACATATGTCGTATA